TGGCTCAGTGGGTTAAAGTCTTTGCCTTCGTCTCAGGTCATGATCTCAGGGTCCTGGGATCGAGCCCCGCATGGGGCTCTCTGCTCAGCGGGGAGCCTGCTTCCCCCTCTCTCTCTCTGCCTGCCTCTCTGCCTGCTTGTATCTCTGTCAAATAAATAAATAAAATCTTAAAAAAAAAAAAAAAGCAGCAACAGTTCTCACTCTGAGATAAGGACCAGAAAAATAGTTTATTTCTTCGAAACTGATGGTCCATTTAAGTTTAGAGCCAGTTGGACATTCCAGAGCCTCCCGAGGGAGAGCAGCCTCGCCAGCACCTTGACGTTAGCCTGGAGAGACTCGGTCTGAACTTCCCGCCCCAAGAACTAAAGCTAATAGATCTGTGTTGCTTCAAGCAACTTGAGTAACGTGCCACAGCGGGCCCAGGACACTAACCGGCGGGCTGAGCTCTGCTGGTGACCCGCTGACTGCATTACTAGATACTCTTTGTACCTAAATACAGGAACACTGATAATGGAGGTTTTCCTAAACCAAGGTGTACGGTCTATACACACTTATTTCTGATATTTTCGCTGATGACATCATTATTCAACCAGGAATACAAAATGAAACCCTGGGATCATCACTGACTCTCGCCCTGTCCTTGAATTCATACCATCTATCCAATCTTTAATCCCTTTCAATTTTAACATCCATGTTCTCAAGAGCCCACCTTTCCAACACCCTGCATTGTCACCACTGCATTTCAGGCTGTGACTCCTGTCCTGGAAAACCACAAAGGTGTCCTGCTCCCTAACCAGCCTTTTAACTTCTAGTACCTCCCCATGTAAGTCACACCTCCCATACTGGTTTTATCTTGATCCAAGTTTGACTGAGTCACACGCTTCCCTCTTATAACTTTATTTTTTTTTTAATTTTTAAATTTTAATTCCAGTATAGCTGACATACAGTGTAATATTAGTTTCAGGTGTAGAATACAGTGATTCAACAATTCCACGCACCACCTACTGCTCAGCACGACAGGCGCACTCCTCCCTCTCCCACCACTTGTCTCCCCTGCCGCTCCGCCCACCTGCCCTCTGGTGACCATCCGTGTCTAGAGCAGAGAGTCTGTTTCTTGGCTCGTCTCATTCCTTTTCCTTAGGGTTAGGGCTTGTTTTGTTTCACTTCTTAAGTTCTCCATACAAGTGAAATCATATCCCCTCATAACTTTTTAAAACCTATGATGATTTATATACAGAAGAGTAACTTTATAATTTCTTTGTACCATTCTGTGGCCCCCAAAAAAAGTGACAGAGCATGGAGCATCTGGGGGCAGGGAAACCGTGCTGTGTGACACTACAGTGGTGGACACGTGTCATTATGCATTTATGGAAACAAATAAAACGTGCAACACCACGAGCAAACTCTAATGTCAGCTACGGACTCCGGGGGACAACAATGTGTCCCCGTGTACGTTCTTGGATCAGAACGGATCTAACACAGTGGTGCAGGACCTTGCAAGGAGGAGAGGCTGTGCAGGCAGACTCTCTGCACTTGGTATCAATTTTGCCGTTAACCTAAAACTGCTCTAAGTAATTGTTTACTAGTTAGAAAACACAAACAAAGAAAAAAACCCAAATTGCTACAAACCACCACCACGAGTCCACAAAAATACACCGCTTCACAGTCTGGAAGACCGCACACGTGTATCGTCTGATCGATTTCTTCACAGTACTCCAAAATACACCCACTGATGTCCTCGTCTCTAAGACGCGAGTAGCTTGTGCTTACATAAACAAGGTGGTTCTCTCAGTCCATTCTCAGAGTGCAAGACTTCTGTCCGACCAGAGACATTTAAGTAACTTATTATCATTATTTTTAAATTTGGGGGGCGGGACAGAGGGAGACTCTCAAGCAGACGCCACACCCAGCTCAGAGCCCAATGTAGGGCTCGATCTCTCGACCCTGAGATCACGACCTGAGCCAAAATCAAGACTCAGACACTAATCCACTGAGCCACCCAGGCGCCCCTGACGAGAGACATTTTAAAACACCGATAGGGCTAAAGATATTGATCTTCTGACTCACAGTCTGACTTTATTATTCACCTTTTTTTAGGGATTTAATCCAGAAAAAGTACATTACTACAAACAAAGCAAAACCGGAACTTCAATTTTTTTTAGCAGAAAATGGAGAAATAGATTTGTTTTCTCTATTCAGCAAAAACATTGCTTAAAATTATAACTGAAATAGCTCTTTCCAAAAGATATTTCATTTTCTCATTTATAGTGACAGAACGCTAATTTTTATTTTTAGGCACCACCATCTGAAATATTAACCATTACTTCCCCGCCTGACCTGTGGCTGAAGTGCGGTTCCACAATTACGTTCTAGCCAGGCTCTATGAACGAGGTTTTGCAAGCGTCCTTCCTGAGTCGGTCTGGGCTGCTGTGACATATTACCGGGTGGCTGAGACCACACATCTTTATTGCTCACTCTCCTGTAGGCTGGAAGTCCAAGATCAGGGTTGAGCTCCAGTGAGACCCTCTTCCTGGCCTGCGATGCCACTCTCGCTGCTCTGCACCCAGTGGAGAGAGCACATCTCTCTCTCTAAGGGCTTCTTCTAAGGCCACTCACTCTACTCACAAGGGCCACCCTCTCATGACCTAACTGCCCCCTAAAGTCCCACCTCCAAACACTACCACGTCAGGGATTAGGGATTCGAATTATGAATTCGGGGGTGGCGTACGGGAAGGCACAGTCACTCCGTAGTGCTTCCTCACAAAGAAGGTGTGTGCTTTTTATACTCCCTTCTTTTCTGCTTTCTAAACGAAGACCTTCCGGCTGAACTCAGGCAGCTACGTTGGAACAGCAGGTGACCACAGAAGTGGAAGCTAAATGCTGAGGCGGAAGAACAGAAAGGGCTCCAGGTTCCTGAGGATACTGCGGAGTTCCCACAGTAACCCCGAAGTGCGTCCTTCGTAACAGTTTTTACGTTAAAGGAAAATGAATGTCTATCTTCTTCAAGTCTTGAATATTTGAGAGAGTTTCTTATTATTGGGAGCTGAAACTAAGAAGCTTCATGAATAAAATATTTTCATGATCCAAAAGGCAGGGATCTGGTACAAAGAGCTTCTGTGGCATCTACTTCAGGGGCAAATTAATAGAAAAATATTATTATTATTATTTTAAGATTTTATTTATTTAGGGACCCCTGGGTGGCTCAGCTGTTAAGTGTCTGCCTTCAAGTCAGGTCATGATCCTGGGGTCCTGGGATCGAGCCCCGCGTCAGGCTCTCTGCTCAGCAGGGAACCTGCTTCTCCCTCTCCCACTGCCCCTGCTTGTGTTCCCTCTCTCTGTGTCTCTGTCAAATAAATACATATTAAAAAAAGAGATTTTATGTATTTATTTGTCAGAGAGAGAGGAGACTGCACAACTAGGGGGAGCAGGAGACAGAGGCAGAAGCAGGCTCCCCGCTGAGCAGGGAGCCCCGATGTAGGGCTCGATCCCCGGACCCTGGGATCATGACCTGAGTTGAAGGTGGACGCTTAACCAACCGAGCCACCCAGGTGTCCCAACAGAAAATCTTTTCAGGGGCACCTGGGTGGCTCAGTTGGTTAAGCCTCTGCCTCAGGTCATGATCTCAGAGTCCTGAGATTGAGCCCCGCATCAGGCTCTCTGCTCAGCGGGGAGCCTGCTTCCTCCTCTCCTGTTCCCTTTGCTTGTGTGCACTCCCTATCTCTCGGTGAAATAAATATTTTTTTAAAATACCTAAAAAAAAAAAAATCTTTTCAATGCAGAATAAGGTGCTGTGGTTTACACAGAGATCACTTTAACCACAAGTACGATATATACCTCTAACATCTAATCTTTCCTCTTTCAATTTCACTATTTCTTGCCAAAATTCAGACCCTTTCAACCTTTTGAGGGACATCGTGTGTTTCTGCCATTAGTCGCCCCCCATTTTCCGCTCTGCAGCTACAGTTCATCTTCTAACATATACTTGCACTTTTCATTTCCTTTAATGAGGTGAATACCTTAGAGTCCCTTAGGTCCATGGTTTTGTGGTTCCTATCACGCAATGCTTGTTTTCCACACCGCCACCACATTTCAGAAGCACTGAAAAATCCCTGCATCCCAGTATGTGCCTGGGACAAGCTATCCTGGAATAATGAAATGCCCCTTTCTACCCTGCAAACTAGTACCAAACTTCCAGAACCTGATCAACTGTGTTCTGTGAGATGCCTCTTACCCCACGAGAGCTGCCGCATCGGAGTGCTTCCTCAGCTGTCCCCTCTCCAAGGGGAGAGGACGTTCTCACAAGGGGTATACTCTCCTCATGCGACTAAGTGTTTGGAAACTCAGAAAGCATTCAGTCCGTGAGGAATGAATGTAGAAAATCATCAAGATCACTAGAGATGCACACATAGTGCCATTTTTCTTATTTTTAATTAAGAAAAAGGCACCCCTAGAATCCAAATTACAGATATATAATCTAGAAAGGCAGAGAAAAGATTAGATGAGGGAAGATACTGAAACTAGGATTACACTAAACGGTAACTAACTAGAATTTAAATTAAAAAGTTGAAACAGGGGCACCTGGGTGGCTCAGAGGGTTAAAGCCTCTGCCTTCGGCTCAGGTCATGATCTCAGGGTCCTGGGATCGAGCCCCGCATCGGGCTCTCTGCTCAGCAGGGAGCCTGCTTCCTCCTCTCTCTCTGCCTGCCTCTCTGCCTGTTTGTGATCTCTCTGTCAAATAAATAATTTAAAAAAAAAACTTTAATTAAAAAAAAAAAGTCGAAACAAACAAAAACCAAGCACCCCAGAAAAAGATCTGAGAACACAACTGGTCCCCAACACCAGAGCAGTATCAGGAGGAAAGTGCACACTCAGGTGTCTGCGGAGGTCACACTTGTGTACGTCACGTGTGCACTGTGCTTTCTGACCGCCGAAGTGTGTTCTGGAACATGGAAAAGTAACAGGTCTTTAAAGCTCGTCAGCCGACAGGTAATACTACTTACTCTGCAGTTTTGTAAACGTCAGAATACAGCCCTGCTTTCTGATACTTCTTCTTTGGGGGACGTGGGGCCTTCTTCTCCCTTGGCAGGAGACAGCGCACGGGCCGCAGGGCATTTTCAGGTTCAGGAGGCTCGGCTGGGGTCTCAGGAGGACTGGGGGCCACAACTGCCGCTGCGGTAAAGCTACAAAGACAAGTTTAAAGGAAACTTTTACTACTGACTCTTTACACAACACAACAGCAAGTAAAACACGAGGTCGAGACCTCCTCATCTGACCGTGATGAAGTAACAGACAGCAGACGTGTCCTCCTGAGACAACCTACCAGAAATCTAGGAAACTACTATAGGCCTGGAGAAGGTTTATGAAACACTTAGCAGACACTGGACAATAGCACCGCACTGTGATCCCAGAGAAAATTGAAAAAAGAAAAAAAAAAAAACAGAGAAAGAAAAAATATGGGGGTGCCTGGGTGGCTCAATCAGTTGAGTTCAACTCTTGATCTTTGCTCAGGTCTTGATCTCAGAGTTGTGGGTCCGGGCCCTGCGCTGGGCTCCGCGCTGGGTGTGGAGCCCACTTACGGAAGAAGAAAAAATAGGAATAGTCCTACAACCAGCTTGCCTTTACAGGGAGGATGACGGCAGAGGGAGCAGAGCCCCAGCAGAGAACAGCCAGTGTGAAGAACGGACAGAGCTCAGAGAGGTTGAGGACACTGGGGTTGCTGGGGCAGAGTCCTGGAGTGGAGAAAGCCACAGAGGAAAGCAACTCTAGAAATCTGTATGGGCCTCCCACAGTACACTTATGAGGTTGTGCAAATGCGGGGTCAAGTTCGGCAAGGCCGGACAAAGAGCGAGCGGCGTCCTGTCCGGAACCTCAACAGCCCGCAGAGCTCACACACGGTGGCAGGAGCCTCCTCGAGGCACCGTGGGAGGACAGTGCCCGGTACTAGGACATCCCGCACACCCCCCAGAGAGTAGAGTCGCCCACTTCCACACAGCTCAAGTACCCCCAGAATAAAGACCAGCGCCAGTGAAGCTTAAAAACAGTCTTCAACATCCAGATGGCCAACAGACACATGAAAAAGTGCTCCATATCACTTGGCATCAGGGAAATACAAATCAAAACCACAATGAGATACCACCTCACACCAGTCAGAATGGCTAAAATTAACAAGTCAGGAAATGACAGATGCTGGCGAGGATGCGGAGAAAGGGGAACCCTCCTACACTGTTGGTGGGAATGCAAGCTGGTGCAACCACTCTGGAAAACAGCATGGAGGTTCCTCAAAATGTTGAAAATAGAACTACCCTATGACCCAGCAATTGCACTGCTGGGTATTTACCCTAAAGATACAAATGTAGTGATCCGAAGGGGCACGTGCACCCGAATGTTTATAGCAGCAATGTCTACAATAGCCAAACTATGGAAAGAACCTAGATGTCCATCAACAGATGAATGGATAAAGAAGATGTGGTATATATACACAATGGAATACTATGCAGCCATCAAAAGAAATGAAATCTTACCATTTGCGACGACGTGGATGGAACTAGAGGGTATCATGCTTAGCGAAATAAGTCAATCGGAGAAAGACAACTATCATATGATCTCCCTGATATGAGGGAGAGGAGATGCAACATGGGGGGTTAAGGGTGTAGGAGAAGAATAAATGAAACAAGATGGGATTGGGAGGGAGACAAACCATAAGTGACTCTTAATCTCACAAAACAAACTGAGGGTTAATGGGGGGAGGGGGTTGGGGGGGTGGGATTATGGACATTGGGGAGGGTATGTGCTATGGTGAGTGCTGTGAAGTGTGTAAACCTGGCGATTCACAGACCTGTACCCCTGGGGATAAAAAGATATTATATGTTTAAAAAAAATAAAACTTAAATTAAAAAAAAAAAAAAAAAAACAGTCTTCAAAGGAATCAGCCGAACCACAAGTACCTGAACTGCCTACCAGAGCCCCTGAGCATCTGGGAAAGAACAAAAAGCCCGACACACGATGATGCAACATTTACAACGTAAAGAAATTCACAGTGAAAAAAACCCAACGTGAATGGCCAAATATTTTCCAGATTTGATAAAAAGTATAAAGTCAAAGTTCCAAGAAGCTAAACAAACCATAAACAATATAAACTAAAAAACAAAAACAAAATAAAAAAAAAAACAAGGCATATCATAGTAAATTGCTAAAAATTACTCAAGAAAATTTAAAAAGCGAGAGGACAAAATACGACCCATACAGGACACAAAAGTAAGAACGAGTGCAGATGTTGCGGCTGAAGTAAAGGCGAGCCAGCCATAAGGCAACAATAACACATCTGTAAGTGCTGAAGGAGGAGGGAGAAGGAGGGGAAGGAGGAAAAGACTATTCAAACAGAATTCTAAGTCAATCAAAAACGCCTTCAAAAATTAAGTTGATTTCCGGGGCACCTGGGCGGCCGGTGCAGTGCCATCTGTGGGTCCAGGCTGGGCTCAGCAGGGAGTCTGCTGCTCCTACTTCCTCTGCCCCCTCCCCAACTTGCGTGCTGACAAGTGTGCTTTCTCTCTCTCAAGTAAATAAAATCTTAAAAATAAATAAATAAATAAGGGGTGCCTGGGTGGCTCAGAGGGTTAAGCCTCTGCCTGCGGCTCAGGTCATGATCTCAGGGTCCTGGGATCGAGCCCTGCATTGGGCTCTCTTGCTCAGCGGGGAACCTGCTTCTTCCTCTCTCTGCCTACTTGTGATTTCTGTCAAATAAATAAATAAAATCTTTAAAAAAAAAATTAAGTCAATTCCAGTTCCAGGCAAAGATGGAACGGATACTGCCACTCATCCATCCACTAAGTAAATGAAAAACACTAGAAGCTATATATAAAACACACATAAGCAAACAGATTGGCTAGGGACCCTGCAACCGAAGCTACAACATGGCAGGGAATTTCCTCCATAGTCTTTCAGTGGTAAGTATGAGCCAAAGAAATACAGTTTCCCTAGTATCAAGGACAAGGAAACTGTCAGCTCTCATCATATATTCAGCATCAAAGAAAGTTCTAGCCAGTGCAAACAGGTGAGAAAAAGAAAAAAGTCTTGAAGAGTCAGTTCTTTAATTTCATTCTTTTTCAAGACTGTTTTGGCTGTTTGGGATTCCTTGAGATTCCTGATGAATTTTAGGATGGGTTTTTCTATTTCACAGAAAACATCACTGGGATTTTGCACTAAACCTGCAGATCACTTTGGGTAGTTCTGGTATCTCAACATCAGGTCTTCTAGGCCATGAGTAGTACATGCTGTCTTTCCGTGTGTTCACGTCTTCCGTTCCCCTGAACTATGCTTTGTAGAAATTTCTTTTCTTCCTTCCTTTTTTTTTTTTTTTTTTTTAAGATTTTACTTATTTTAGAGAGAGAGATAGAGTGGGAGGACAAGCAAAGGAGGAGCAGGGAAGCCTGACGTGGAACCTGATCCCAGGCCCCTGGCATCATGACCTGAGCCGAAGGCCTACGCTTAACCGAGACACCTGGGAGCCCTCTTCTGTAGTTTTCAACATACAAGTTTTGCCTTTCTAAATTTATTCTTAACTATTTCTTCTTCATTTCTTTTTTTAAAATTTAATTTATTTGACAGACAGAGATCACAAGCAGGCCGAGAGGCAGGCAGAGAGAGAGGAGGAAGCAGGCTCCCCGCTGAGCAGAGCCTGATGCAGGGCTCGATCCCAGGACCCTGAGACCATGACCTGAGCCGAACGAAGGCAGAGGCTTAACCCACTGAGCCACCCAGGCGCCCCCCATTCTATTCTTCTTGACGCTACCGTGAGAAGAACAGACTTAACTTCTTTTTGGGAGAATCGCTGGGTCACAGAAACGCAGCTGACTGTGGGTGCGGATTCTGATTCTCAACTTGCTGAACGTGTTCAGAGCTCTACCAGTTTTGTGAGAGATCGTCAAGATTTCCGGCATATAAGGTCATGGCATCTGTGCACAGAGCTAATTTTATTTTTATCTTTACGATGTCTCACTTTGCAAAACACCTTTTACTTTTACTTCTTCTTGCCTGACACTTCTGGTGGGTTCTAAAGCTGAGCTGAGCCCAAGTGGCACAGGCGGCACCTGCCCGTCGCTGGCCTCGGGAAAAGCTCTCAGCCTCTCCCACCGGGCTGTCCGCTCTGGGTTTTGGTTCATGGTCTTTATCACGCTGAGGTAGTTCTATCTGATCACAGACCGCTGGGAGCTCCTCTCACAAACACGTGTTAGAGTCTGTGAAATTACGTTTCTTCTTTTACTGGTATTTGTGTGATTTTTCTTCTTTAGCCTTTTGATGTCCTGAATAACGTTACCCGACTTCTGACAGTCGCCGAGTCTTGCATAACTGGGAAGCATCGTACTTGTTGTAGGATCTATCTTACCCATCCATTCACCTAACCAGTCAATTTATCATTTACCCTTTTTACCTGTTCTTATACATTTAATAATTTAATATTTATTTTTTTACTCTTCTCCTTTCCAGGCAAATTCATTTCTACTTCTGTCTTTACCTTTTTTCTTTATCTTATTTCTTTTTCTGCAATAAAAAATGTTTTCTGCTTTCGTGCTTATCACCGACATGTAGAAATTCTCCCAGTGCTATGCTTCCCCAGGTGCTGTCCCTAGACCACACACAGCAGAATTACCATGACAGTTTACAAGAAATGCAAATGCCGAACCACAGAATTTTAAAAATTCTTATTAACGAAGTCTGGGATGGACCACTTCCTAACCTTGCTGCTATCTATATCCAACACCAGGCACTCACTCACTCTTTTTTAAAGATTTATTTATTTATTAGACAGACAGAATGAGAAAGTGTGTGCGAGTGGGGGCAGGGGCAGAGGGGGAGAGAGAGAGAGAAGCAGACTCCCTGCTGAGCACGCAGCCTGACATGGGGCTGGATCCAATCAATGATCCTGAGACCATAACCTGAGCCAAAATCAAGAGCCCTACGCTTGAGCAACAAGGCCACCCCTGTCCCCCTGTCCCCTCCCTCTACAGACTGTGCATCTCATTCGACTCAGGCTCTGACACTCCAGGCTGCGTTGATGCTCGCCCTCACCCCCTTTCCCAGGGCCCTACTCCTCACTCCATTTGGTCTCTAACATCAAACTCAGGGCTGCCACGGTCTCCGTGCCCCGTCCGGACACCTATGACTAATGGCTCTCAGAATGAAT